TCTTTTGTGAATTACATGATCTCTCTCTCTCTCTCTCTCTCTCTCTCATCTACTTTAATTCGAATTTTAGGGTACATATATATTTTTATATATATATATATATATATATATATATATATATATAAATATATATATGTTCATTAGAGTATCTATATATATATATATATAAAGAGAGAGAGAGAGAGAGAGAGAAAGAGGGAGAGAAAGAAAGAGAGAGAAAGACATATACATACGTTTTCTATCCTTCCGTGCAGTTCGATCAGGGACACAAGTAAGAAAGTTGGAATTTGTTCGACGGATGGGAACCAGGACCATCGGTGGTCACGCTTCATTTCGTCGTGTTCAACTAGCCCTAACCGTTTCTCGTTTCTTTTCTAAGTAGTCCCAAGCTCTTCTCTACGAACCCATCTTTCTCTTCACCATCGTAGAAAAGAGAAAACTGCTCGATACACGCCTGTACGAACCTATAAAAATCACGCTTCCCCTTTCTCTCTTTCTCTCTCCCTTTCTCTTTTATTTCCTTTCTCCTTCTATCTTTTATTTTAGCAGGAGTCATGAAACGAGCGAGTTCCACTTCTCTTTTCTCACTCTCCCGCAAAAGCACACCCTTTGCCTTTCTTCTCTTCCCAATTTTTTTTTCCTCTTGCGAGCGAAAGCCACGGAGTCGTATATTGGATCACGAAGAGGGATAAATAGGAATCGGTTTGAGTCCTTCGAAAGAATTTACAGAACTTTCTTCTCGCATTTTTTTTTTGTTTTTGTTTTTTTCTTTTCACATCGGACACAAATAAGTCTGCTATTTTAATATGGTAGCTTCAATCAATAAAAAAGAAAAAAGCAATAACAATAACAACAACAATAAATTGTTCTCTTAAAATACGATCTATTCGATGTAATTAAAACATCGTCGAGTAAAAGACGAAGTGAAAAAAGAAAACAAAAAAAAAAAAAAATACAAAAATAGTTTTTAGCCTTCAAACACATAGCAATGCTATTTGAAAAAGTCTAATAAGTATCATTTTGTCATCGTAGTTGTCCAACGACGGCACGTTAAATAATGGTATATGCTTTGTAGTCTGACGCAAGGGAGAGCAAATTGTTAGCCGGTGAAGCAGACCGAAATGGATAGAGAGACGGTAACAACGGTTTTGACGGATACATGAACACGAGATAGAAAGAGAACAAGAACCTTTAAAATCTCTTGCATCCGAACATGAGAAACGTTCAAACAGACGGTACATAAACGGAACAGAGAAAGTCCACACGAGAACAAGAGATTGGCGACTGAGCGTGCATAAAGCCAAAGCAAAGCTACGTTTGGTCAGTATTCGACGCACTGTGCGGATGTTTAATTACTCTCTCTCTCCCTCACTCTCTCTCTCACTCTCTTCATAGAGATACTAAATATTCAAGCGTCTGTGAGACGACTTGGACGAAGAGAGAGGGAGAGGTGGGAGAAAGAGAGAGACAGAGAAATCAGTGTATATATACGACATCATCTAACAGATATATGAACGATCATAAACGAGTCGGTAGCTTGTGTTCAACCACGTACATACATTTCATTAAAACTAAAGTTGAAGTTCACTACTATATCGTAATGTACTACTCTAATTTTCGTGGTGACTCATAGTAAATATACATACATCTATCTACAATAGACTTGTGTGTTTATATATATATATATATAATATATATAATATAATATATATAATATAATATATATAATATAATATATATAATATAATATATATATATAATATATAATATATAATATATAATATAATATATAATATATAATATATAATATAATATATATATAATATATAATATATAATATATAATATAATATATAATATATAATATAATACATATATATATATAAACTGATAAATAGACTGAATGAAATAGTAAACGAACAATTTTTCGTATTTTAACTATGAAAAAACTTTGATAATTCTCCGTATCTCTTCTTTTGACCTTGAACAATCCGATCTACTTTCGGAATGGTTTGTCTACTCTCCTTCCTGTCCATCTCTCCTTTCTTTCTTTTTTTTATCATCCCTTCGTCTGATCCTTTTCGCTTTAATTAGCTCCGTCAACCGGTAAACAATAAAACCTTATTTCTAACGAATTAATTTCGAACAATTCCGCGGGTTGGCTTTTAAGCGCGAGCTCACGGCAAACGCAATGGCAACGTCGGCGGCTTTTATTCCGCAGGGGTTTGGCATCTCAAAACGTAACGAGCATCCCTTTCATGTAATACTATCTTCAACCCTGCGCCTTCCCGGAATTCCTGGGACGCGAACCTTAAGCCCCCTTAGGATCCTCTCGATGCTATGCTCGAAAGAGTATCTTTTCTCTCTCTCTCTCTCTCTCTCTCTCTCTTTCCTTCACTTATAAATGTTAAAAACAAAATACGATCTTTTAAACTTTTTACGAGTTCAGTTTTGAACTTTTTTATATTTTCGACGTACATTTAATATTAAAAAGTTTAATACACGGTAATCATTGTTTTCATTTCGGAAAAATCTAATTTAAATCTTTACTTGTTCTGCATATATATATATATATATATATATATATATATATATATGTATATATATTAGAAAAAAAATAAGATTGAATCGAGCGATAAGTGCATATATCAAATTATTAAAAAAGATATTTACGTATGGGTGTAATTAAAACTTTTATATCGAATTTATTGTTTCCTCCTACAAATTCCATATGTAAATACATAAAACTATACCATTAAAACTTCTCTTTTACACTTTTATAAAACATTAATATTCGAGAAAAAGCATCGTCTTTATACTGAATAATATGCATCATTAAATGTTAATATAAAAGATACCGAAAAGATCATTAAATTGAAATTACCAATTCGTTTTATACTAATTCCTTAACACGAACACGTATTTACTTGATAAATGAATTCCAAACGATCATAAGAATGAAGAGGGAAACGTAACAGTACGATCCAAATAGTAAGAGACAACTATCTCCCTATCTCTCTGTTTCTCTTATGACCCTATACATTCGTGACGACATTTGGAGGTCCCCATCGGAACTTCGGAGAACTGTTTCCGGTCGCTTCCGACGCGGATATTCAGTTTGATGGTACAAACCGGATATTCGACTGGTGCTCTTACGAAGTGGTTGCACGATCTAAGGATGCACGCGTTGTAATCTATAGAAGGAAGAGAGAAGGGATAGAATAATGGATCGATGGAAGTGGAAAGCCTAAGAGGAACTTGAAGAGAGAGAGAGAGAGACAGAGAGAGAGAAAGAGAGAGAGTGAGAGAGAGAGAAAGAGAGAGAGTGAGAGAGAGAGAGGAAGAGAAAGGCTTATAGCATCACGAGTAGCTCATCTGCATTTCAAATGATGAACCGTACCGAAGGTATCTCTCTTCCTATTATATATATATATATATATATATATATATATATATATATATGTATGTATGTATATTTGTGTGTATGTATATCTCCACCTAGGCATCTGTTAAGTACACTCTTCCTCACGCTTTGTCCTCAAATACCGATCTATTCCTCCTATCCTCTTCTTTCAATATGATACGAATAATCAGAGAGAAAAAGAGAATGATATACAAACAAAGAGAGAAAGAGAAAAAGAGAGAAAGAGAGAAAGAGAGAGAGAGAAAGAGAGGAATAGAGATAGAGATAGAGATAATATCACTTGCGGTCAAACCGCATTACAATGTACTCATTGGACCCAAAGAAAAGTAATGCCTATGGATTTGTGGCTAAACGGGCGGACAAATGAAAGTGAACGGAAGTCGTTCGTTACTTCTAAATCGATGAACCATCGACGTAGTACGTTCGGAATGAGATTAGGATACGTCGCTTGTGCTTTTGATTAATTTAACGTTAAACCTTCATTTGTTATTAAGCGTTGAAATTAAACGATTATTTGGAAGTGAGAAAGAGAGAGAGAGAGAGAGAGAGAGAGAGAGAGAGAGAGAGAAAGAAAAAGAGAAAGAGTTATACAAATGTATAGAATCGACGGAACGTCGAAGTTTCACAGTTTAATTAGTCTTGATAATATTTGGATTTGTTGATGATAGAAGAGGAGAATTCGTCGGTCTAATTAATTCATTCGCGGATATGTATTATAAATATAATGTACAAATAGACAGACAGACAGACAGACAGACAGACAGACAGACGGATACTTTTCCTTTGTTATAATTTACTTAGAAATGTTTTCGTTTTCGCTTTCGTTCTTTTTTTCTTTTTTCTTTTCTTTTCTTTTCTTTTTTTGTCAATTAAATAAAAACAAAAGAAAAAACAAAAAAAAAAGAAAAGAAAAAAATAAAGACGAAGATAGCTCGTTTAAAATATAACGAAAATGACGTTGTCTCACGTAAAGCTCCTGGGACTTTGTACTATGCGAAGTTACTCTAGAAATACTATCTTCTCGTTTTCTTTTTCTTTCTCTCGACCATACGTCACTTTAAATTCCCAACGTAGTTTATTTCCTAGGCAAACACGAACGCGTTTGCATCAATGTGAGAAAAAGGGAAAGAGAGAGAGACAGAGAGATAGAGACAGAGAGAGAGAGAGAGAGAGAGAGAGAGAGAGAGAGAGAGAGACAGTGAGGAAGAAAGACAGTGAGGAAGAGAAAAAGAGAGAAAAAGAAAGAAAGAAAGAAAAAGAAAGAAAAAGAGAGAGTTTTATCGTTCCAACGTTTATGCACTCGTGTAGTTTTTTATATTCCCGTTGGTAGAAACGAAAAGTCGAGAGCTTCGTAAGGGAGGAAGAAAGAAACCGTCGAATTTTCATAGGATTCTTCTTTCGACTTTTTGCGATCGTCCGTAAAATCGTTTCGTATAAATGGAAATAGAAACAAATAAAAGAAACGGAAAAAGATAAAGAGAGTGAGAGTGAAAATGAAAGTGAAAATAAAAGAGTGGGAGTAAAAGAGAGAGAAAGATAGAGGAAGAAAGAGAAAGAAAGATAGTAAGCTTACTTACCTTGCCAACTCCGGTGAGCTCCTTAACTCCTATCCGCCTGAGAAGGGCCGGTGGTGCCGGAGGCGGTGATTTGAGAAGCAATGCGGCGTATCCATTAGGAAAGATGGGTTGCTCTTCTGGTCCGATGTTCTCGTCACCGGAACGCCGTCGACGATGGGGACTCGACGACAGGTTTAACTTCTGTGCGGCT